TCAAAGTTCTCCGATTTAGATACGCTTTGGATTATTTTGCAGCTTTCGGTCTCAGTTACAGTCTCATATGGTTAGTTTAGCTTATTTCCTTTTCTTTCTCGTTCAGGGACCATTCACTTTCCGGTGTGTGTGTGAATCCCCAGCTCTTTCCCCACCTGCCACTTGTTTCTCAAGTTAAAGCCAATGGACTTAAAGACTTAGCTGCTTATATCTCCACCATCTGTATATATTAGCACCTTATGTAATTGTCTTTTAATTGTGAATTTTGATTGTATTTATTGGTTCTATTGTATTTTAACTGTGTATAAATTGAAATAAATAAATAATATAGCGAATTGCTTAACTCACTGTTTTTTCGCATTTAAATCATTGTAGGAGAGAAATCACGCTAGATCACTTGTCCACTCGTCTGGCAGCCAGCTCTTTTTGCCATGATGGCTTTGCGGCAGCAGGACCTCTTGGGGTAGGGAGAGGCTCGATCCCTCAGCCGTCGCCTCAGGAGCAGCTCTCCTCTGCACCCGAGGCTGGGAGTCCCCTACAAGGACTCCAGGAGGGCCTGGATCTGGCCAGGACCCTTCCTGTCTGCCGGAACTCAGTGCATCTCCATCAGGAGCTCGATGGGATGTGTCCGAGCCTCAATATGCCAAAACCGGATTGTCATAACTTTTAAATTCCATAAATATGTCAAATATTACAGTTTGACATGCTAAGTTATAAATGATGCATAATTTAGTTTAGGTTTGACACTAGTTCTATTTTCCCCAAAATTTCTATCCCCCCCAAAAAAAAACCCTCCTGAAAATGTTTTTCCCCAATGGCTTTAAAATTTCCGGAAATGTTACATCTCTACACATTCCTAAGCTGAGTGGAGAGGAGAGAACAGGACAGAGATACTGGATGCATTAAAAATGCCCTTCTATTCCCCCCCCCCATTGGCCTGGCATAAAACCTGCTCCCTGTGCCCACACTATGGAGAAGGGAAGAAACAACAGGTCCATGCCCTTGCACACATGTGCCTGTAGTAGTTTGGATGGATCAATCCCATACTAAGCAACGTTGAATAAGGTATAAAAAATTGCATTATTCCCCTGGAAATCTTGATTTACTTCCTGAACATCAGAAAAGAGACAAGGCCAATTTTGTATCTGTCCTGCATGAGACATTAAACCTCAGACATTATATTGGGAATGCAAAAATAAAAAGTGTCCAAGGCAACAGGGAGGGGGCATGGTTCAAAGCACATGCTTTGCATCAGGGGTTTGTACAAAAAAAAAATAGAATTTTTTGGGTTTGGATCTACAGAACCCGAAAAATTTCGGTATTTGCTGATATTCTCGAATCCCAGTATTGGCATGATACTGGGGTTCGGGAATTATTGGACTAGCCGAATTTATTTGGCTCAATTATACCCTATGGGGACTGTTCCCATAGGATATAATAATCCCTCCCTTGAAGGGGGGGGGGTTTCCTATCACTGAAGGGAAGGCAAATTGATGAGAGCCGCTGCCCCCAAGCTAGCCCCCCCTTGCCAAAGCGGGTGAGCCGGGGAAGGCCTGGAAAGAGCCCGCCAGCCAAAGCAGGGGGAAGGGAAAGTGTTTAAATTTAAAACACTTTCCCTTGCTTCTGGGGCTCGTGCTGCCTTCACCAAGAGTCACTCTGCTGAAGCGGCATGAACAGCAGGTGTAAGGGAAAGTGTTTTAAGTTTAAACACTTTCCCTTCCTCGCCCAGCAAAGGGATTCCCTGAATGGATGCCGAATATACGGCATCCATTCGGGGAATCCCTGTTCGACCAGCCAAATCAGATTAGGGATTTGTTTTTTGGTTCGTCTGAACCCAATGTGCATCCCTATTTTGCATGCCAAAGGTCCCAGCTTCAATCCCTAATATCTCCAGTTAAAGATCTCAGGTCTGGAATATGCAGCTGAATGAGCTAGCAGAATGCTAGTGCCTTAGAATGGCCTATAGCATTGCAGTATGACAATCACTTGTTTGAATAGTTATTTTTGCTTTTATGTCACAGCCGACTGATGGCCACTTCATAGGGTTTTCAAGGTAAGAGATATTCAGAGGTGGTTTGCCATCACCTGCCTCTGCATAGTGACCCTGGGCTTCTTGGTGGTCTCCTATCCAAATACTGACTAGGGCTAACCCTGCTTAGCTTCTGAAATCAGGCTAGCATGGGCTATTCAGGTCTATACAAACTCCTTGTAAACAGAAAACCAACAAGTAAAAGTTCTCTACAAAGTACTTGCCTTCCTTCCTTCTGAGCAAGGTTTCTGTTTGCGAGGAGTTACATATTTTTACACAGAGAAGCATGCAAAATCAGAATTCTATCACTTCAGCATTCTACTACCTCATTCTTCTGCATGTGAAGACCAGGTCTTAGGTAGCAGGTTCTGGGAAAGACCTTTCTTTGATTGAGTCCCTGAAGAGCTTCTGCCAGTCAGAATAGGTAGTACTGACCTAGACCACCTTGTAGGCTGGTGGCTTAAGACAGCTTTAAAGGCATTTGCCTGGGAGAACTTCCCGGTGGGGTATGCTCATTTTTAAAAATTCCTTAAACAATTCTAAGAACTAAAACAGACAAATAAAAATCCCATGTAATATATCTGTTGCTGTCTGTATTATTACAGAGTTCAGATGGGCATTCAAATGCTAGATAGGATATTATTTATTTACTTATCTACTTTATTTATGCCCTGCTTTTTGCTCCAAAGGCGAACCGAAGTGGTTTATCTTCATTCTCCTCTCCTCCATTTTATCCTCATGACCACCCCATAAGGTAAGCCTGAGACTGAGTGACTGGCCCAAGATCACCCACCAAGCTTCCATGGCAGAGTGGGGATTTGAACTTGAGCTTCTTAGATTCCCAGTCTGACACTCTATCCACCAGACTGCACTCACTGGCTCTCTATACATGACAGATGACCATGCCAGGGAAAGAGTTCCAGACTAGTCTTGTTCCTGGCATGCTTTCTGCAGGGGGAAGCAACTGCACATGTGGAGCATTCAAAATATTCAATCCTTCCACCAGCCCAGCCTGGCAAGAGACCATTATGTGGGGAATTTGTTCATCTGTGTTATCTCTACATTATCCCAGCAGCATGGGACCCAGCATAGCACTGCCAAGTAATATGAAAAGTCCTACACTCATGTTTGGAGCCCTGGCCAGAAGCTTCAAGGTTCACAGCAATCCCAAGAAAACGATATGCAAGAAACAGGTTTGCTTGCAAGGAGATTTTAATACATCATCAAATTCATAGAAATAACAGGCTAAACTTTCATCTGCTGGGCCTCGAACACGGGGGGGGGGGGGGGGGAGGGGGGGGGGGTAGCCAGAATCTGAGATGAGATACATAGCTAAAACTAAGCATCTTATATCCTAATTGCTGGCTACAAATTAAGAATATCATAATCAAAGCTACATCTCTAAACACTGAGAGAAAAGCCAAGCCACGTTTTGCACCAGGTACCCACTGGCAGAGGAAAACAAGTCAGCTTTCTTAGATAAGAACTTTGGAAAGTGCTAATAAAAACATACAAAGAATATTCTCTTGGGAGTGGCCTGCTGGCCATTCTCCCAGGAAACTAGAGATCAGGCACTAGCAGAAGACCAAAATGGAGTTACAGAGTCTATACAACTCACACGGTGGGTCCTCTACAGGTCAGCATTAACTCATTCTCCTGGATGGTTGATTCTTGTGTGGGGGAGGAGCCACACTGCAAACTCCTTCCAAGAGGCTACAGGAATGCACAGTGCCACAGTGACTCCTACATTGCCAAGGTAATGCATTGTTTCAATATTCCAAACAAACAAAACAAATTAAGGCTGACTTTCTATAATCAGTGGTGCTGTAGCCATGTGGTAGAAGTGGTGCATGACCTGACATGCAAGGAAAAGCGTATTCTTGTAGTGGGAGAAGAACAAACAGTGGATCCCAAGGCAGACAAGTCACTGCAAATGGTAGCTCAGCGCTTTACTCTGTTCTGGTTAGACCTCGCCTTGAGTATTGTGTTGAGTTTTGGGCACCACAATTTAAGAAGGATATAGACACGCTGGAATGTGTCCAGAGGATGGCAAAGAAGATGGTGAGGGGTCTGGAGATGAAGACCAATGAGGAAAGGTTGAAGGAGCTGGGTATGTCTAGCCTGGGGAGGAGATGACTGAGAGGTGATATGATAACCATCTTCAAGTGCTCAAAGGGCTGTCATATAGAGGATGGTATGGAGTTGTTTTCTGTTGCCCCAGAAGTTTGGGCCAGAACCAATGGGTTGAAATTAAATCAAAAGACTTTTTGGCTAAACATTAGGAAGAACTTCTTGACAGTTAGAGCAGTTCCTCAGTGGGACAGGCTTCCTCGGGAGGTGGTGGGCTCTCCTTCTTTGGAGGTTTTTAAGCAGAGGATAGATGGCCATCAGACAGCAATGCTCATTTCTCTGAACCTAGGCAGATCACGAGAGGGAGGGCAGGGAGGGTTGCACCAGTGCTTAGTTCTCGTGACCCGTTCTTACACACCCAGGGAAATGCTGATCACCAATTTGGGTTCAGGAAGCAATTTTCTCCAGGTCAGTTTGGCCGGGGATCCTGGAGGTTTTCTGCCATCTTCTGGGCATGGAGTAGGGGTCACTGGGGGCATGTGGGGGTTTAGTTGTGAATTTCCTGCATTGTGCAGGGGGTTGGATTTGATGACCCTGGAGGTCCCTTCCAACTCTATGATTCTATAATTCTAGGAGGGACGGAGGGAGGGACACAGTAGGAATTTGCTAGAAAAGTAGCAGCAAGGGTCATTGCTCAGCCACTGGGAGTCTTTTTTATGCACAGCTATTTGGCAGTCTTTTTTTAAGGACACACACCGATCTGATTTCTAAACAGCAGTCTGAAGGGTAGATTTTCATCTGACAGTCCAATGTTTATCTATAAAACAACTTTTCTTGCAGCTCTGATATGGAATGCACTCTGATACGGACTACATGCATAAACAGAGAGATAGAGTCTTACCTTTTTATGGCTTTGTAGCAAATGATGAAAACTAGAAAGAGGAACACTGGTGTGGTGCAGCATGCTGCAATAATTAGAACTGGGCTTGGCCACCAGGTCTCTGCAGGGGGACAAGTGGGAGGTGTGGGAGCTGTAAAAGACAATGTGGAAAAAAATAATAACCCACACTCAGTTGAGTTTTGCCAGACAAGACGGTTTGTGATCTGATAAGATGCTCCATTCACCAGAATGTAGGGCTGCAGACATGACAAAAGAGGTTACTTGATGCTCCACGCAATAAAACACTGTGGTGTCTTCCCCTTAAAACACTGTCAGGAGGGGGCCAGATTGGGTGCCAATGACCCCTGCTGCTTCTGCGGCAATGGCTCTGAGATGGGGCCAGAAATGAAAATGGCTCATCGCTGCCGGCGGTCACAATCTCTTGGTGGCTGCCCATCAGATGCAGCCGTTTGCTTTTACAAACTTAATGACATGCTGCTATGTCCGGCTTTTAAACTAAATTAGGGAAGATCGATCTCGAAGAACTGGCAGGGCCTGTAATCAGAGGCATGGTCATGACTAATAACCTTGGGTGGAGAGCAAGTTTAAAAGTGGGTAGGGGAGAGGAACTCCCCACAACCTGAAAACACAGTTTGTTGAGGGGCCTTTTCCCAATTGTCTCATCTAATCACTGCATCTAAAAAGACGTTTCTGTCAAAAAAACAACAACAACAAACCAGCCCAAATCCTGTTTCTCAGTAGCTTAGGATAACAACTAAGCCATACAATTGCATAATACTGAGAAATACCAACATGTCTCCAAGCAACACCAGCACCACACCAGTGCCAGGCTGGTTTAACCCTAGAACTGGCACAGAATTGGGAGGCGTTAGGAACATTTAGGGGATACAGTCAGTATCCTAAGCCTTTCCATCTTGGATCTGAGGCCCCATATAATATTATGCCAGTGTCAACCCTGGGCTCACTGTCAAACTTCCCATAGAATTCAGAGAGAGTGAAAACAATCTGCCCCATACTTCCTCCTGTGCACCCAAATCACAGCATAGCTCACAGGGCCAAACAACACATTACATCTACCGCGTGACTGCCATGGAGACTTGTATCAGGACACCACAAGCGAGCACCCAGTGCAGCTCCCCCAAGGGCAAATAATGTCCCCAGACTGCTTTGATTCAGGAAAAGGGTGCAGGGGGAGGGCAGGAGCCCTGTTTCTAACCACACCTAGGTCCTGAGCTGAACTGGCCCCTGTGGCACTTCTGAAGGGACTTCCCTTGGGGAACTCACAGCTGGAGTTTTGCAGGAAGTTTCCTTGGCGGTCATGTGATAGATGTAAATCTCCAGCTAAGAGTGCAGCCAAGACACCTGTATCAAATATGGGGCTACATATATTTGCCTCATGTCAGACACAATGAGAAGCTACACAGAGGAATTTTGATGATGGAAACTCTAGAGAAAGGGCTCTTTGAACAAAAAGGGAGCACAAGCAACAAGGGAAGACACCACAAAACACACAAGCCAACAAACTGTAGTATATTTATTACACTACTTTGCTTAGAAGACCTCTACCTCAGGACACAAACACAAAAGAGGAGCTTCTGCTTACCTAACTGGGGAATCAAGGAAAATGCACCCCCCTACAGGTAAGCCAGAAAAGAGGAATCCTGTGCCTCAAGCCATGACTATTGCAAATGGTTCTCCACATCCTGTCCCACATGAACTTACTCTGCTTATCCTTACCAGAACACTTCCTCCCTTAAAAGTTGGCAGCAGTTGAAGTATGCACTGTACAGACGGCAGCACAGTATAGCCCGATCTCATCAGATCCCAGCAGCTAAGCAGCATCGGTACTTGGAAGGGAGACCATTGAGGAAGACTCTGCAGATGAAGGCAATGGCAAACCACCTCCACTTCTCATTTGCCTTGAAAGCCCCTTGCTGAGGTCGCCAGAAGTCAGTTGCAACTAGGGCTGCCAAATCCCCCCAGGGGGCAGATTTCCCCCCGCTTTGGAGGTCCGATTTCCACCCCCGCGGAATTGGGCCCCGGGGAAACCCCACCCCCGCGTGCATGTCACAAGGAAGTGACGTCATGACGCCGGGCACGCTGGGGGCGGGGTCACAGCCATTTGAGGGGAAAACTCTATGTTTTCCCCTCAAATGGCTGTGGCCCCGCCCCCAGCGTGCCCGGCGTCATGACGTCACTTCCCTGTGACGTGCATGCGGTGCGCGTGCTCCGGGAGCCACCCCAGAGTCCCCCGCCGGCGAGGTAAGTCGATTTGACAACCCTAGTTGCAACTTAACAGCACTTTACACACACGTATCACTGTACAGGCAGTGTTGTGTTATGCTTGTGTAACACATACACACACACACCGCACAGGGGGCACAACCACAGTTCTGGGTGAATTCTGGCCATTGCTCACTAACCTTTACTACTGCCAGGCAGACACTATTATCTTGCAGGATCAGAGCCCCAAGGAGCAGCCCCAGTAGACAGTGGAGACACACTTACACTGCAGCTTCCTACAAGGAATGGTTAAGTATTGGCTCAGTGGGTATACTCCGTCTGTCTCCCAAAGGGCACATCCTAGCATTGGAATCTCAAGCTGGGGTGGGGTGGGGGACTAAGGAATGGTTAGAGCACCATGTATCAGTTTTGGAGCCCACTTGCTGGGTTTTTTTGCTACTGCAGTACACGACTGCGTCTCTTTTGACCCTTCCCAGACAGCCATCCAGCAGGGGCACAGCCCAGTGCCAACCATGTAATAAAGCTATAGTGTGAATTGCAGCTGCGGTAACCAGTGTGCCTCTAGAGACATTCTGCTGTGTAGCTGTCAGCTAGTTTGGTGTAGTGGTTAAGTGCGCGGACTCTAATCTGGGAGGACCGGGTTTGATTCCCCACTCCTCCACTTGCACCTGGCTGGATGACCTTGGGCAAGCCGTAGTTCTGATAAGAGCTGTCCTTGAAAAAGAGCAGTTTCTGTCAAGAGCTCTCTCAGCCCCACCTACCTCATAGGGGGTCTGTTGTGGGGAGGGGAAGGGAAAGGAGTTTGTAAGCTGCTCTGAGACACCTTTGGGTAGTGAAGGGCGGGGTATAAATCCAATCTCTTCTTTTTCTTGTTCAATTCTGGATCCAGCACAGTTGCAAGGTGCTTAACCAACCAGCACCTGTTGTCCCCATCGTGAGCCTGTAGCGATGGGGACAATTCTGTCAGCGCCGCTTACAAAGGCAGAGGAGGAGCGCAGGAACAAGAGAGCAGGAAACTCCATTTGCCTGCCTTGATTTCCAGACTCTATGCCTGACTCTCTCTTTTTTCGCCGGGGGGGGGGATAAATGTGTGGATTGTTTCATCGCGGTGTCTATATTTGTTTAGGGGCTTGATAGCTTGGGGTTGGTTCACACTTCCGGCTTCTGACTGGCCTCAAGTTTCTTTGGCACGAGACCTGCACTGGGACAGGATGAGAGCATCCTCCGCTGTCTGCACAACTGGACCGGAGGAGCAATCCCTGGTGGCCAGCGGCAGGAACAGCAGGCGGCTGTCACTTAGTGGAGGTGGAGGCGCGCGGTGACGTCATCCATGGGCGCGGCGGAGCCTGAGGGACGCAGCCGGCCGGAGGAGGATGTTGACCTGAGCGCCAGAAGAAACTTCCAGCCAGTAGACTTCCGGGAATGGAGCCAAAAAGCCGGACCGAAGGAATATCAGCCTCCACCCCCCAAGAATAATGTGGCCTAAGTTAGGGTATAAATGTGATTAGCACTTCCCCCATGTAAACCGCCCAGAGACCCCTACGGGGGTTAGGGCAGTATATCAAATCTAAGGTTAAATAAATAAAAATAAAATAAACTCTGCTTTGGCTTTGGCGGGAATGGCTCCTTGGGCTGTACAACCCCTCTGGTCCCTGCTAGGGTCTCACAGACCATACAGGTTGCATGACGGGTGGGGCAGGGGTGGAGCACGAGGGCTGCTGAGATTAACCAGAGCAGGCAGCAGTAATGAATACCTGAATGCAGCAGAGGGGATGGAACATAAGGGACTGCTGACCAAACGACAGGCATATATATATGGCAGTCAAGTAGGGTCACCAAGAGCCTGGAGAAACGAAATGTCCTACCCTCTTAACAGATGCTATTTACCAGGTGATGTTGCTTACCTCCATACCATGAAGAGTCTCAGCTACCCATTTCCACACCTTAAGCCCCTATTAAAGGGACAGGACATTTTTTCCCCCTTCCAGGTTGTTAGCAACCTGCCCGGGTGCTATTGTTTGATGGTCCGAAGCCTCAGCTGTGCCCTGGACTCCTTCGAGGAATGTCTAGCAGCTTAACCAACCATGCGAGGCTTGAATGGAGGATGTGTAGTGTGCCGGGCCTTTCTCTACACTTCTCTCTGCCCTGGTATATATGGCAATTTCAATGCCATGGCTTTTGGGACATTCCTAACGCTCTATGTCTTCCTCCTGTCTGACAAGTTGGGTCATAGGTGTGGGTTCTAGTCTGGCCGCCTTCTTCTGTTTCGCTGCTCATTGGCCTGCTGTTGGCAGAAAGGTGAGCTTTACGTTTTGGCTAGGGATTACCGTTGGTGAGATTCAAACCCATGGCTCCTGTTCAAGGAGAAGGAGCCCAAGGTTCAAGTGCGTTTCTCCAGTGTCCTATTGGGGAGATAACAGGAATGTTTTTCTGTGCTTGTGGGGCCATGTGTTTCCTTGTTGCTGCTCTAGTGCACGGGTGGCCAAACTGCGACTTGCAAGCCACATGCAGCTCTTGGAGCTGCCTTCTGTGGCTCGCGAGGCTTTCCACACACCATGGCCCCCCTAAACCGCGTGTGCATTTGCTCACTCTCTCGGGCAGGGGGGAAGGGGATGGGATGGGGGGAGTGAGAGGAGGGAAGGCAGTGTGCGGGTCTCCAGGGCGGGCAGAGGGAGAAGGATGGGGGAGGGGAGGAGGAGAGAGCCAGTGCAGGCGGGTGGGATGGCGGTGACGGAAGGAGTGCAAAGGCAGCAGGAAGCCGCTCCAGGGTGGGTGGCGGGGTTTCCTTTGCAGGGGGAGGCTTGGAGCATGCTCACGTTGCCTGCGGCCTCCCTAGCCTGACTGGGGGGGGAAAGAGAGTCTCCTCTTCCAAGCCATGGGGGCAGA